GCCTCCTGGGTTCAGGCAATTCTCCTGCCTCAGCCTCCTGAGTAGCTGGGATTACAGGCACGCGCCACCATGCCCAGCTAATTTTTTGTAGTTTTAGTAGAGACTGGGTTTCACCGTGTTGACCAGGATGGTCTCGATCTCTTGACCTTGTGATCCACCCGCCTCGGCCTCCCAAAGTGCTGGGATTACAGGCGTGAGCCACTGCACCTGGCGTATATATCTTCTTTTGACAAAAAAACAAAATTCAAAACGTGCTATCAAATTATTAATGTTTACCCATCAGCACTTGTGAAGATGTGCAGTATGAAGATTACCACCTCTTTTCTTGAGAAATGTAAATTAAGACCATGTCATAACGATTGATAGAACCATAACAATGGTTCTTCTAACTTTTATTTTTGCAGTTAGACTTTATTTGCACTGAAAAAACTGTTGATTTTCTTCCTTGCAGCATCAGAAATATTAACATCAGAACTACAATATAAACAAGCCTGGTGGTACAATTCGCATTTGTACTAAACTGGCTTCTTGTCCTGAAGAAATGTTAGGAATTCTTTCTATAAATGAAACAGTCTCAACAAAACTTTTAATTTGACATGCAATAGTAGCTGTTTATGATCTGTTTCCATATTTCCACATACTAAAGAGAATGTTTTGAAATTTAATATATTTACCTTATATAATTCACAATTTTATCCACATTGGTCAGCACACTATCCAATTAAGCTGGTTTTTTGTTTTTTTTTTCCATAGCAAAACTCTCTCAATGAAGGAAAATGTGTTAATTTACAATCTAGCCCAAGGCTTCTTAATCTGGATGACTTTTCCAGAACATTTTCCTGTCATTGCAACTGCACCATCAGAACATACTCTTACCTGAAACTTAACCTCCAAACCACATGCTGATCATGCAACCTTCATAGTTTTATACATTCAGAGCTAGTTGTGTTTTTGACAATTAAACTAGAAATTCAGAATTCCTTCATATCATCATGTTCAAATTGCATATACTGTAAGAATAGCTATGCTAGCAATATCTCTGCATTTTTTCAAATTGCCATGAAAAATACTTTGCTAGCTTCATTTGTTCTAGGAAGTGGTCATCCATATCATTATCCAATTCCTGAATATGTTGACCTAAGGTACCAAGGGAAAATGATTTTAAGCTCCCTTCTTTGCTATAAATTACCCAATATTGTAATGCAAACGTTGTTCAGTAATGTTTTGGCAATTGTAGATGAATTATTAGTCTTTGCAATACAAAATGTTACTTTACAAGAAGCCAAAAAGTCCAGAACTTCTATGTCAAATACAGATTGCTTTCGAGAGCTTTTCTATCCAATATTCTTTTTTTTTTCCTAAAAGCAATCAGTTTTTTGTGACCTTGTGTTTTTCCATTTTATATGTATATGCCATTTGTTTTTATGGTTCATTTGCCTCATTACCCAATACATCTCAATAAATACCTCACTAGGTTTTAATACTTCCCTGCTAATTATAACTACAAAATTCACATATGTGACTGTTTTATATATATATATATATATATATATATATATATATATATATAGAGAGAGAGAGAGAGAGAGAGAGAGAGAGAGAGACACAGAGTCTTGCTCTGTTGCCAGGCTGGAGTGTAGTGGCACAATCTTGGCTCACTGCAACTTCTGCCTCCTAGGTTCAATTGATTCCCCTGCCTCAGCCTCCCAAGTAGCTAGGACTACATGCACCACCATGCCCAGCTAGTTTTTTTGTATTTTAGTAGAGACGGGGTTTCACCTTGTTGGGCAGGATGGTCTTGATCTCCTGACCTCGTGGTCCACCCGCCTCATCCTCTCATAGTGCTGGGATTATAGGCATGAGCCACTGTGATGGGCCAGTTTGTGGTAATTTGTTATGACAGCAATAGGGAACTATTACAGTCACATATGTGAGTTTTTTCTTGAGACAGAGTCTTGTTCTGTCGCCCAGGCTGAAGTGCAGTGGTGTGATCTCAGCTTATGGCAACCTCCACCTCCTGGGTTCAAGTGATTCTCCTGCCTCAGCCTCCTGAGTAGCTGAGATTACAGGCGTGTCCCCCCACGTCCAGCTAGTTTTTGTATTTTTAGTAAAGACAAGGTCTTACCATGTTGGCCAGGCCGGTCTCAAACTCCTCACCTCAAGTGATCTGCCCGCCTTGGCCTCCCAAACTGCTGGGATTACAGGGGTGAGCCACAATGCCTGGCCACTAACAACTAATTTTAAAGTATCACACACTGTAACATGGTCCTGCTGTGGGTTACTAGCACACAGCTCGCTCCATTTTTTACTCTCCATGCTAATTTGGCAATACACAAGCTGGTTTATATCCTGTTCAATAAGATGACATGAGTTAACTAATCAGGAGCTTGGATCTTGAGGCAATATCAAATTGATATAAAAACTTTTGAAACCCCTACTCCCAATTTTTATACTTACCTTGCTGTGGATGGGTTACAGACAATTTGTAGGCCAGCATCAGCCCATAGATGACACATTCAATAGCACAGGTCTAGAATTTTACCAACGTCCCAAATGCCTCTCTCAGCCTGAGCATGGGGTTATCCTGGCCAGCATCCTAGACAGCCTCAGAGAGAGCGTCTTATGGGACAGGATAGTGTCCACATGTCCATTGGCCAGTGACTCTCTCCAGGGAGAACATTCCAGGGCAGTCCCTGGAACAAGGACTGGCCCAGCCTCAGGCACCCTCTTCTCCTGGCCCCTCCTGGCCCTTTCCCCTTCTCCCTGCTTCCTGGACTCCAAATAGGTATGTAGATCTGTCTGCTAGGTCTAGACACTGAGAATCCCCTCTTCCTCTCCTAGCCTTGGGTCCAACCCCACTTTCTTTTCCTTCTGGGCCCTACCCACCCAACCAGCCATTGCCTTTTTGACCTCAGTAGTCCCCGTCACTTTTCCAGGGACAGCATTCCTCACCTCCACCAAGGGCTCTGAGCACAGGTAGGTCAGCCTCAAGCTTTACACAGCTGTCCTTACTTCCTAACGTCTTTCTGATGACATCATTATGTTGCCTTCTCGTTTCCCACTTTGATATTATAAGATGTTCAATACACTGTTTGAATGTGCTGGTAACTGCTTTGCTTCTTGAGTAGAGCCACCACCACCATAGCCCAGCCAGATGAGTGCTCTGTGGACCCACAGCCTCAGCTGAGTGTGACCCCAGAAGCCACGGTGTGCTGCTGGCAGGCACAGGTGGGGTCTCCCACTCGCTAACCACGGCCCCTTCTCTTCCCCGGCAGCCTCTGCCTCCACATGGACCACCTGGGCTCCCCGCAACCTGGTCTCTTCACAGAGCCAGACCCAGAGCTGTATGCCTCCCACTGAAGGAGCCAGAGAAGCCCCTGAGTCTCCATCTACCATCGCTGCCCCTTCACAGTGAGTTCATGGGACGCCCAGAGTCACACAGCCCCGGGCGGGGATTGGCAGACGGAGACTTGCCTCCCCAGCCCATCCTCTCCCCTTCTTGTCCCTCCATCTTCCAGGCCACAGAACTCCACTCTCCGCCCTGGCCCTGCAGCCCCCAGCGCCCTGCTCTCTGTGCTCTGTGGACTCCTCGGAGCCAAGAGCCTGGTGCTGTCAGCCCTGCTCGTCTGGTGGTGAGTGTGGTGTGGGTTGGACTTGGGCAAATGGAACAGGGAACAGCTTCTGCCCAGGATAGAGGCTCAGGGGGGAATTGGCTGGAGAACGGAGGTGGAAATTACCATCGGCAGGGCTCTCCAAATGGCTTCATGGAGCAGATCCATTGACATGTCACACAGGCTCACCTTTGTCCTTCAGCTGCAAACTTGCAGGAATCTCATCCACATTTCTCTGTCTGTATTTTCTCTTCTCTCTTTCTTCCGCTTCCCCCCACGCCCTTTTCATCCCTGTCCCTCTCCATTTCTCCCCCTCCCTCTTCCCCACCCCACCCCTCTTCCTCTGTCCCTGTCTCTCTATTCCTTCCTCCTCTCCCCTTCTTCCCTCTTTCTTTCTCCTTCTCCCCTTCCCCTCCCCCATCCCTCCATCAGAAACACTGACCTGCACAACTGGGAAGTCCCTCCCACCACCTGCCCTTCCAGGGACTCCCTAAAGCCACCATCCCAGGACTCTGCCTCATTCTAGTCCTGAGGGAGAGAGGGTGGACACAGGAGGTAAACAGCCACTGGGAAGAAGGGACACATGGGAAAAACCATATGTGGGGCTGAGTAAAAGGTGCAAGGACAACTCAGTCAGGCCAGGAGCTGGCTTGCTGGAGGAGAGGGACAGGGTAGGAGAACAGATTCAAGTCATTTCATGTATTTCTCCCGGCTCTTTGCATCTCAGGGTCTTAAGGAATCGTCATATGCTGCATCAAGGGAGATCTCTGCTGTGCCCAGCTCCGCGCAGTCCCCAGGCCCATAGACGCTTCCCACTGAGCCACAGGACCCCAGGTGGGCGGCAAGTCTCCAACAAGGCTGGGCTCCCAGGAGCTCCTCCCGGACCTCTGCATTCCCTGCAAAGAAAAAGCCAGAACTTTATCCAAGGCCGTTGGCCACATCCTCCCTACAGAGCTGAGGCTTTCCTCCCAGGCCCTCTACTTGCCCACCCTCAGTTTGCACCGCACCCCGTTGTGGGAGCAAAGCCCAGCACCTGCAGCGCCTTTTCACCAAGCCTGGGTCACTGATGACGATCCTTCCTCCCTGCCTCCTCCTCCTATCTATAGCCCCCGATAAAAGAAAAACTTGGCCAGGTGAGGTGGCTCACGCCTGTAATCCCAGCACTTTGAGAGGCTGAGGCAGGTGGATCACAAGGTCAGGAGTTCAAGACCAGCTTGGCCAATATGGCAAAACCCCATCGCTGCTAAAAATACCAAAAAAATGAGCCAGGTATGGTGATGGGTGCCTGTAATCCCAGCTACTGGGGAGGCTGAGGCAGGAGAATCGCTTGAACCCAGGAGGCAGAGTTTGCAGTGAGCCGAGATAGTGCCACTGTACTCCAGTCCGGGTGACAGAGTGAGACTCTGTCTCAAAAAAATTAAAAAAAAAAAAGAAAAACTTTAGGTCTGGAACGCTGGTGGCTGACACCTGTAATATCATCACTTTGGGAGGCCGAAGCTGGAGGATTGCCTGAATCCAAGGGTTTGAGGTTGCAGTGAGCCATGATCACACCACTGCAGGCTAGCCTGAGCAACAGAGTGAGATCTTGTCTCTAAAACAGAAAAGAAACACATTAGACAAAATAAAATTAACAGAGTTTATTTGAGCAAGAAACGATGTGGAAATTGGGCAGCCCTCCAAACCAGAAGAGGTTTAGAGAGCTCCACTCTGCAACCCAGGCAGCTGCAGAGACAGCAAAAGACTGAAGAAAGCAGAAACAAGGAACAAAAAGCAAATTGGTCATTTCAGTTACCTTCCTTGTAAAGGTTAAAGCAGAGGGGACTTCCTTTCCGTGCTGGCCAAAATTGGCCTGTTCAGGGATTTGGCTCTTATCTCTCTCTCCTAATTTCTCAGAAGGGCAGACAAACAGCGTGGTTTCAGCTTGGTGACGTGCAACCTTAGCACGGTGACCCCATTTTGGTTTGGGCTGTTGAACTGAGGGCAGGAGCTCAGTCTAAATCAATAGCCTCTTATCAATCTTATGTAACACCCCACAGCCAGACGTTTCTGTCTCCCTCTCCCCTTGCTCAGCCACACTCTGCCAAGGCCTCCCCTGTTGTGCCTCCTACTCCTTTCCAAGCCCCGGCACTCGGACCACTGTGTCAGCCACCTAACAGGGGTCCTGTCTTCAGTCCCCACCTCCTAGCTGGTTCCCCTGATACACCCCTTCCCAACAATACCTCTGTGCATTTCCACCACCCAGGAATTGAAGTCCCGTGTCATTACTGGGGGCCTGACAATGCTTTGCCCAGATCAGCCACCCCTGCAGCACAGCACTGCCCTGTGCTGTCCTTACTGCCGCCAACATGGCTGCAGCCTCTAGAAGAAAGTGAACCTTTCTTGTTTTCTGCACTAGCTGGGCAAGAGGCGCCTCAACTTGCCACATTCGAGATCACTCTGTGCCTTGCCCCAGGCCTGTCACCCCCACAGGGCTGTCCTCTGACACCTGCAGTCCCTATTTCGGACCTACTGGACTGAGCCTGATGTGATTATCTTCTCTCTCTCTTGTTTGTCATCTATTTTTCTTTATTTCTACTCTCTGGGAAAGTGCCTCAAAGTTACATTCTATTCAAATGTTTACAATATACACGATCACATTTCTCATTTCTAAAGGTCCATGTGTTCTCTGAATGTTCCTTTTTATAGCACGGCATGTTTTATTTTGGCAAGCCATATTTTTCCTGGAAATATTAAAGTTTTAACTTTTGAACTTCTTCGAAGCTTTACATATTTTCTGTGTCCTCCAAGTGCCCGTCATATATTTTGTTTTCTCCTTTCATTTACCTCTGTCTTTCTTCAGAGCTTTCTGGAAGCCTCTGCCGTTTCTCCGCCACCCACTTGCATGGAAGTGCCCAGAAGCCCCGTGCGTGCCGCAGGGTGCTGTGGGCTCCAGGCTGATTGGGCAGAGCATGGCTCCTTTTTTTTCTCTTTCACAGTCCTGTTTCTCCAGAAAGGACTCTTAGCTGTCCTCCCTGGGGGTGTAAGCCTAGACCCAGGGTTCTAGGCACCAACTGGAGCAGAGCAAAGGGATCTCACTGCCCAATGTCTGTTCCCACCCAAGCCCCCACTACACATTGTCTCTCTGTGGCCCCCTATGACCCGAGCAGAGCACCTCAGATTTTCCATACAAACACCCCTCCCCGGCCGCTTGCTGTGGCTCACACCTGCAATTCCAGCACTTTGGGAGGCTCTGATTGTGTCCACCCTCATCAGAGACTTACCTCAAGCTCTCAACAGCTGTTGAGAGAGAGGAAAGACAGGATGTGGGCAGCTAACCTACACTCAGTCTCACAAGAGCCAGAGAATCTAGGAGTCTAAGTGATTCTTAAAGCAGAGCTCCAAACTGTTCTCTGGTTTCTGGCACCCACTTCAACCCTGCGTCAAGACATACAATTTCTCACTGGGCGCGATGGCTTACACCTGTAATCCCAGCACTTTGGGAGGCTGAGGCGGGCAGATCACCTGAGGTCAGGAGTTCGAGACTAGCCTGACCAACATGGAGAAACCCCGTCTCTACTAAAAATACAAAAACTAGCTGGGTGTGGTGGGGCGAACCTGCAATCCCAGTTACTCAGGACGCTGAGGCAGGAGAATCGCTTGAATCCAGGAGGCAGAGGTTACAGTGAGCCAAGATCATGCCACTGCACTCCAGCCTGGGTGACAGAGAGAGACTCTGTCTCAAAAAAAAAAAGACATACCATTTCTCCTCTCCACCTTTCTGGGGTTCTAGAGTAAAAATGACTTTCCTCTTATTCCCCCACTCCCACCAGCTTTCTCTGATCTGTGAAGTCATCTGATTTTACCCACCTCCAAAATGTGTAAGGAGCTCTCTGTTTATCCTTGAGGATGCAATTTTTATCCGGTTATTGCTGCTTTCACCTTCTTGGCATGAGCGAGGAGGGACTCCAGATTTTCCATCAAAACACCCCTCCCCGGCCACCTGCTGTGGCTCACACCTGCAACCCCAGCACTTTGGGAGGCCGAGGCAGGTGGATCACGAGGTCAGGAGATTGAGACCAGCCTGGCTGACATGGTGAAAACCCATCTCTACTAAAAACACAAAAATTTGCTGGGCGTAGTGGTGCACGCCTGTAATCCCAGCTCCTCAGAAGTCTGAGCAGAATTGCTTGAACCCAGGAGGCAGAGGTTGCAGTGAGCTGAGATTGCACCACTGCACTCCAGCCTGGGCAACAAGAGCGAGACTCTGTCCCCCCTCCAAAAAAAAAGCTCCTTCCTTTTCTGCCCTGGCCCCCTACAGTCACTGAGATGTTGATGCCTAAGAAGAACCAGATTGCCATTTATGAACTCCTTTTTAAGGAGTGAGTCATGGTGGCCAAGAAGGATGCCCACATGCCCAAGCACCCGGAACTGGCAGACAAGAACGTGCCCAACCTTCATGTCATGAAGGCCATGCAGTCTCTCAAGTCCCAAGGCTATGTGAGGGAACAGTTTGCCTGGTATCTTACCAAGAAGGGTATCCAGTATCTCCATGACTACCTTCATCTACTCCCAGAGATTGTGCCTGTCACCCTGCGCCACAGCCGTCCAGAGACAGGCAGGGCTCTGCCTGAAGGTCTGGAGGGTGAGCAGCCTGCAGACTCACAAGAGGGGAAGCCGACAGAGATACCTACAGGTGGAGGGCTGTGCGGCCTGGTGCCGACAAGAAAGCCGAGGCTGGGGCTGGGTCAGCAACCGAATTCCAGTTTAGAGGCGGATTTGGTCATGGTCGTGGTGAGCCACCTCAGTAAAACTGGAGAAGATTATTTTGCATTGAATAAACTTACAGCCAAAAAAACTTTAAAACAACAACAAAAAAAAAACCCTCCCTAGTACCCACCACCAAGGAGTGAGATCCCAGATCTCCACTTGCTCCTCTAAAGACCCCTGGCCTCCTCCCCTTCCCCCAAGGTCAGCACCCAGACTCCAGTACAGCCTCTTGGGGCCTTATTTTATCCCTGTTCACTCCAGTCGCCACGAGACGCCCACGATGCCCCGGTCCTTCCTTGCCACCCAGAATCCCAACTCTGTAAGACCTTTTTTTTTTTTTTTTTTTTTTTTTTTTTTAAATTTTTTTTTTTTTTTTTTTTTTTTTTTTTTTTGAGACAGAGTTTCGCTCTTGTTACCCAGGCTGGAGTGCAATGGCGCGATCTCGGCTCACCGCAATCTCTGCCTCCTGGGTTCAGGCAATTCTCCTGTCTCAGCCTCCTGAGTAGCTAGGATTACAGGCACGCACCACCATGCCCAGCTAATGTTTTGTATTTTTAGCAGAGACGGGGTTTTACCATGTCGACCAAGATGGTCTCGATCTCTTGACTTCACGATCCACCCGCCTCGGCCTCCCAAAGTGCTGGGATTACAGGCTTGAGCCACCGCGCCTGGCCTGTAAGAACTTTTATATCCATTTCCCACTCATTCCAAATCCCATAACCCTTCCACCCTGCCCGTGAAATGCACAGTCATCAGCACAAGCCCCTGTGTGCTCAGCTTCTCTGAACGTCACCGTGGTACGCTCCCTGACATCTGCCTGTTCTCCGAGGACACTGCTTTCTCTGCAGTTCTCTTAAGTGGGGGCTTTTGCTCTCCTTCACCTCATGCTCCTGGGTCCCAGGGTGAGGTCAGTGTCCTCCGTGCTCCTCACGGCCCCTTCCTATCTTCCTATCCTCCCTAAAGCACCCCACAAGTAGCTTTCTGCCATTAGCCTATATCACTGTGGGTGACCACCCATCATTGCTGCAGATCCTGTACAATCTGGGCCACTTTATTCCTCGTGGTTCTTAACTCCAGGCTCAACATCGCTATTCCTGCTGCTGCCATAATCCTTGGTGACCTTGGGCCTGTATAGACCCAACATCTGCATGGATGATTCTTCCAAATCCCTGGCATCTCAGTTTCCTGGCCTCTCCCAGTGGTCTCATCCTCTTCACTATCTCAGCCACGCTTGCAGATGGTCAGCAAGCGCAATAGCCCTGCCCTTAATCTCATTCCCACCACGCCCTACCTCATTCCTGTTAACCTGACCTCAGTATTGCTTTAATGCCACAGGGACCCATGATCCATTCGTCCTGCCATCTGCCCCTTTCCCCCATCTCGCTCATCCTTTCCTTTCCCTTACATGCCATGATTCAACCTCAAATCACTCTTTGACACACAGCCTCCTTTTCTGTGCCCCTCTCCCTTTTAGTGAACTCCTCTGGGAAAACTGTAACTCTGGTTGAACCCAGCTTCCCGCTTACAATGTGCCTGAACCCAGCCAAGGTGAATGTGGCTGTGGCTGGCAAAATACAGTCTATCATCCCAAAATGTCTCACTGTAAGCACGTGACCTTGAGAGTGGAGTGGCTCTGCTCCGTTCTAGACCCACAGCGTCCCTGTCCTCCCTCTCCACATGCTCAGCTGGTATCCCCACATCCTGACTCACTGAACAGAGAGAGAGAGGGAAAGAGAGAAAAGGAGGGAGGGAGGGACACAGGGAGAAGGAGAGAAAGAGAGGAAGGAAGGAAGGAAGGAAGGAAGGAAGGAAGGAAGGAAGGAAGGGAGGGAGGGAGGGAGGGAGGGAGGGAGGGAAGGAGGGAAGGAGGGAGGGAGGGAGGAAGAAAGGAAGGAAGGAAGAAAGGAAGGGAGGGAGGGAGGGAGGGAAGGAAGGAAGGAAGGAAGGGAGGGAGGGAGGGAGGGAGGGAAGGAAGGAAGGAAGGGAAGGAGGGAAGGAGGGAGGGAGGAAGGAAGGAAGGAAGGAAAGGAAGAAGGAAGGAAGGAAGGAAGGAAGGAAGGAAGGAAAGAAGGAAGGAAGGAAGGAAGGAAGGAAAGGAGAAAAAACAATGTCCCCTTGATCCCCCCACACCCACCAGTCATCTGCCTTTCTTCTTCCTCTCACTCTCCCTACTCTCATCTCAAGCCAATCACTTTCCTTCAGCTCCAGATTTCATCTTCTCTTGCCTACACAAGAATATTCCAGCCGAGCGTGGTGGTGCATGCTTGTGGTCCCAGCTACTCAGGAGGCTGAGGCAGGAAGATTGCTGGAGGCTGAGAGGTCGAGGCTGCAGTGAGCTATGATCACACCACTGCACTCCAGCCTGGGAGACAGAGCAAGACCCTGTCTAAAATTAAAAAGGGAATATTCGTCCAGGAGCCACCCCTCCCTCCTGCATCATCTTCCTCCCCGTTGTATGTCATGACCATCAGAATCGAAACAGGATCTATATATAAAGGTGTCCCCACTTACAGCCCTCCAGCTACTGCTCCAACATCTTACTGTCCTCTGCAGCAAAGGCCCATGAAAGGACTGGCTGCACCATCAGCCTCCCACGTTCCCTTTTGTTCTCTCTTGAAGCCACTCCAGTCAGGCCTTTGACGGCGCCACTCCCTGAAACACCTCCAGTGACTTCTGCACTGTGAAACCCAAGAGCCAGTGCTGAAATCTCCTCACCCTGGGAAGAAGAGCACCCCAGGCCTGGCCTCCCACTTCCGCCTTCTTGAGATGGTTTTTTTTCCAGGGCTTCCAGGAAAAAAGAAATCTTGTGACATTCTTCTGACTCATTTGATGTTGCGTAATAAATCAGTCCCAAAACGTATAGCTTAAAACAACACATGATAAATATCCATTAGGTCACAGGTTTTGGGGGGAGGGATGATCAGAAATTTGGGGACAACTTAGCTGGGTTGTTCCTGGCTCAGCACCTCTCTGGTGTTGCAGTCAGGATGTCAGCAAGAAGTGCAGTCGTGGGGAGGCTTGAAGGGGGGCTGTGTCCAAGGCAGGCACCCCCACGTGGTTGCTGGCACAGGCCTCAGTTCTTTGCCATGCGAGCCTTTCTTCACGGCATGGGAACCAACTTCCCCAGTGTGACTGATCCGAGAGAGGGTGTGGAAGGAGGACATTATAGTGCCGTTAATAATGACCTAGTCTCCGAAATCACAAACCGTTGCTTCTGCCACATTCTACTCATTGGAAGCCAGTCACTGGGTCCAGCCCCCACTCAAAGGGATTCGCCTCCATCCCTTGAAGGAACGTATATTAAAGAATTAGTGCCTGTATTTTAAAACCACCAAGTACACACACTGGCCACAAATTATTTACATTCCTCCCACAGGCAAAATACACTCAGCCCCACCAGAAGCCTCCCAAAGTCTCATCTCATTATGGCATGACATCCCATTATGGCATGAGGATGAGTCCAGGAACTTATCATTTAGATCAGGTCCAGGTGTGGAGGAAATTCCTCAGGTGTAGTTCCTCAAGTACAATTCTCAGTATGAAGAGCTGTGAGCTAGAGACAAGCTGTCTGCCGCACACACACACACAGCCCCAATGTCCAATGTAGTACAGTCACAGGAAAACCACTACACATATTCTTGTTCAAGGAAGTGGGAGGCAAAAAGAAAAAGTCACTGGTCCAACATGGCTGTGGGGTCCCTGTGGGAGAGTCAGCGGCAGGTGCGACACCTACTGGCCTCGAGTGCTACATGGGAGAGCAAAGGATGGCCGCTTCCATTCAGCGCTGCCCCCCAGAGAACTGCCGGTGAGGACTGCCATTCTGAGGACCCTCCTGATGAGCTTGGACCCTCTCTTGCTGAATGAGCCTTAGGGGTAAAAGCTGTTAAACTGGAGAAGGAAGCCCAGGATTTAACAGTGAGATACCAGAGAGCTGTGGCTGATTGTGAAAACATAAGAAGGCGAACCCGGAGATGTGTGGAATCCAGAGTTTCTGTAAGGACTTGGTGGAAGTGGCTGACACTTTGGAGAAGCCTACAGAGTGCATTTCTGAAAAATCAGAGCCTGGGGACCAGAAACTCACTCTGGAGAAGGTCTTCTGAGGGTTTTTGCTTTTAGAAGCAAAGATGAAAAATGTGTTTGCTAAACATGGCCTGGAGAAGCTGACACCCACTGGTGACAAACATGACCCCCATCAGCATGTACTCGTCTGTCATGTGTGAGTTGGTGTTGGGGTGCATACTGGCACTGTGGCATTAGTAAGACAAGATGGCTACAAACTTCATGGCCGCACCATTAGACTTGCCCGGGTGGAGGTGGTAGTGGAGTCGCAGAGAAGACTATGAAGAGGACATCAGGAGCTGGATGTTCTCCCTGAGTGCAGGCATCTGTGTTTCTTTGATTTATTAAACTAGGTTTGTTTAAAAAAAAAAAAAAAAGTCACTGGTCTTTAGAAAATCGGAACTTTATCATCAGGCACAGTGGTTCACTCCTGTAATCCCAGCACTTTGGGAGGCTGAGGTGGGCGGATCACGAAGTCAGGAGTTTGAGACCAGCCTGGCCAACATGGTGAAACCCTGTCTCTACTAAAGATATAAAAAATTAGCCAGGTGTGGTGGCGGACGCCTGCAGTCCCAGCTACTTGGGAGGCTGAGGCAGGAGAAACACTTGAACCTGGGAGGCAGAAGTTGCAGTGAGCTGAGATCGTGCCATTGCACTCCAGCCTGGGCAGCAGGGTGAGACTCCTCCTCAAAAAAAAAAAGAAAGAAAAGAAACTTAGCTGGGCAAATGTTGGGCATTCCTTGATTCAGACTTTGCTCAATTCCTACCTAGAAATAATTTTCAGTTTTTCTGTGGTCGTGGCTCCTTCCTCTGTGCTTGAGTGTGTCTCTGAGCCACCCTTCTCTTTCCATGGAAAGCAGCCCATATTTACAGCTTCACAGTTTCCCCAGGCTGCTTCCTGCCAATTTAATTTGGGGGACACAAAGTGAGATTCCAGATTTTATGCTATCTCTGTTCCTTTCTGTCCAATCTGGCAGTGTTTTGTGAATATCATTCCCTTTAAAAATATGTGGATCTCCTGTAAAACTTATTGTGGCTCGCTCCTTTAGACAAAGGCCATGCCCACAAATTTCTTCAAGAGAAGATCTCTTCCACACCATGTATATCTGCTGGAACAATGAGGATAATGTCTTTATACTTCTTAGAAGCTCTAATGTTTGACTGAAAAATCTGTGAAGCACATACCCTTACATTCATGAGGGCCTTTTGCCTGAGACACTATATGAAAAAATCATATATATATATATATATATATATATATATATATATATATATCTTTGACCTTAGTTCCTGACACAGAGATCCTAAGACCCTTATAAATGGGAGTACTAAGAGGATCTTCTGTTCTGATATTTGGTCTTTGATCTCTGTTCTTGACACAGAGCTCATAAGACCTTTGTAACCCCCAGAGTGATAGGAGTGTCTAACACAGAGGTCCTACCTCCCTTGGAATTTCCTGACATCTGTTCCTCTAAAGAGGCACACACACCTGTAGTCCCAGCTACTCAGGAGGCTGAGGCAGGAGAATCGCTTGAACCCAGGAGATGGAGGTTGTGGTGAGCCAAGATCACACCACTGCATTCCAGCCTGGGCAACAGAGCAAGGCTCCGAAAAGAAAAGAAAAAATATTCCCATACCCTAGGGAGAGGAGGGGGCTGAAGACTGCATTAATAATCAATCATGCTGACATGATGAAGACCCTGTACAAATCACAAAAGTAAGGTTCAGGGCCTTCTGAATTGATGAACACATTCATGTGCTGGGAGGGTGGTACACCCCAGACCCACGGAGACAGAAGCTCCTGCCCTCGAGCCCTTCCAGACCTGAAAACGGTTTGGTTTTTCCTGCTAAACACATTCCCTTTCTGAGGTCTTAACGAAGGATATTACAGTCATAGCCTTGGTTTCATCTTTAGACCACATATTCCTAAATGTGCCCTGGATTTGATTTTAGTATCATTTACTGTCTGGAGGCTGAGACTTTTTAAGTCACCAAGCGCCAGCTCCCTCATGTTGAATAATCCTGCTTACAGTTTACCTCTCTCCTCTCTTGTTTTACAAGGAGCCACAAGAAGAAACCAGGTAACACTTTCAAGACTTCGGGAAATCCTAGCTGTGTAACCCCTTTCATGACACACATTTTCTACTTTCCACATTACTGCAAGTGACAGTGTTGCTGAACTTTCTGCCATTGTGTAACAAAGAACCCCCTTCCTTTTTACCCACTAAGTGACCCTGGAAACGTTTCTTAAGATCTCTACCCCCAGTCTCCTCATTGGTAAAAACAGAACGGATAACACCCACATTACCAAGCTATTTGGATTTCTAAGCAGGATGAGACGCTCAAAAAGCACCAGACCAAAGGGCAACACTGAACAAAGGCTGAGTTTTCGAGGGAGTGATGTGTAGAAGAAAGCAGACTCATCCGTGGCACAGCAGAGACCACCTGTCCTTCCGGAGCTGACTGCAGCTGGAGAGAGAGATAATAGCATATGGGCAGAGGGTGAACTTGGACACCTTCCAGAAACAGGCCCTCTTCTTGGTGGGCAGTAGAGGAAAATAAAGGAAAAATCAGAGTGAGGAAACTGACCAAGCTGGGCTCAAATTCTATGCATACTCACTGACCCCTCTCTGGCAGCAGTGGCCAGGGGCAGACTTCCTCCTTGTCCGGGGGGTATGGCAGCCCACCCTGTGAGTAATGGGATGGGGAAGGGGTTGCCTGTGCATCTATGTGCAATTGCATGGCAGTCTCTGATCGCCTTCCTGGTTTCCTGTTCTGATTGCAGCGGGACAAGTGGTGGAAAACCCTGATGGAACTCAAGAGCCTGGATACTGAAAAAGCCACCTGCCACTTTCAACAGGTCACGGACCTTCCCTGGACCTAAGTTTCCTCAACTGTAGAAAAAGAAAAATCACACCACACTCTTGCAAGGACCAAGATAAGCCATGCTGATGAAAACACTTTGTAAATAATAAAATTATCTGAATGTTTTATTCCTGTTGTTCCCTAAGTTTCCTTCAAATTCTGTCTGCATCCCCACATTTGATCTCTAGGGGACCAGCTTCTCTAGTTTGCCCTCTTTTCTCCATCATCACCCTTTCTTATCTTCAGTTCACCTGATGTTCCCTGTACATCTGGGAGCTGCCTTAGATGCTGTTGTAAGCAGGGAAGGGCACTGCACACAGCCCAGGGAGTAGAGGGGCCATGGGTGAGCAAGGCTTGGAAACAAGACCTGGGTTTGTCTTCTCAACTCAGCCCTGTATGAACTTGGGCAGGTAGGTCACTGCCCCTCTCTGAACGTCTGTTTCTTTCTCTTGAATGAAGGGGACGGAGATGAGTTTTGAAGCCCCTTCCCCATGAGGGTAAGTCAATAGCATGAACTGAACACCTCCCTTTGCCCAGCTCAGAGTTACCAGGGACCGAGCACCACAAAACACAAAGAAAAGGAGCCAACCTGAAAACTCAGCTGTGAGTCCTTATGTGGAGGTTCCCTGTGCAAGATTCCAGCACAGGCTGAGGGAAGGGGACAGTGGAGGGGGGCAGAGCTGAAAAGAGGTGGCTGGGAGGGATAGAAAAGCAGGACGCTAGTGGGCACCAGACAGTGGGGGAAGGAGCCCAACAAGGATGAGGAACTTTGCTGTGAAGTCATGTTAGTCAGGATGCCATGACCTTCCATAAGCCCAAGAGAGAGGGCACACAGTCCCAGGAAGGAGGCGAAGTCCTGTCCCATCTCCACTCACCCCTAAGGTTCTGGGAGCATCTGGGTATCCAGGGACAATTTAAACTCCCAGGGTCTGAGGTCTTTTTCTTGGAAACCCCAGTCTCCTGCCTCCTCTTTCCAGTGCTCACCTTCCTTCCTGGGCTCCTCTGGGGACCACCCAAGCTCCACACCCAGCCAAGGGCTAGAAAGTCTGGGGACAACCAAGGTCTCAGGCAGACCAGAACTTCCATTCATGGTTAAAGTGCTGAACTTGTTGGGTCTAAATATGAATATGGACCGAGTAGCGGAGTCTATTAAGAAAGAATTTGTAATTGCATTGGCTGTGATCATATTAATTTGCTATGCAGCAAAAGCTCTTTTTTTAGAAATGTATGATAAATTATTTAAGGGTGGAATGTCAGGATATCTGCAATTTATTTTAGAATACTTCCACATGAAAAAAAAAAAATACCCTGAGTTAAAAATACAGAAGAGGAGTGGAGCACCTGGCCCCTGAGCTCTGAGGATGACAGGGCCTGCTGCAGGCCCATCCTGTTCCTCCACGGAAATTAGACAAATGATCCATCTTGTGGAGAGATCACAAAAATGGCACCCTGCCTCCCCCCTCAAATCCTGCCCCCTAGCCAGCACCTGGTAGAATTCTAGACCTGACGGCCCACATGCCGAGGGAGTTCCTGTGGTTATCAGGTAACAGCCAAGGCAGCCACCATCAAAGCAGAGCCCACAGTCTCCGTGAGGTGCTCACACCTTGGTGCAGCCCTGAAGTTGGCATTGCTCAGCAGATCTCCACAACGGCTGCACCTAGAATTGCACACACCACACCAGGTTTCCTGGGTTTTCCCTCTTCTCTTTGTAAATTACATATAAACATCATTTTCCCAATTCTAAGAATTCTGACATTCAACAGAGGAACATGTTAGATTCTTTTATCTCCTTTTTTTTTCCAACCAACCTTTCTCAAGCATTAGTAAGTAAGACAGCAAGAGCAAGTGGTATGGCCACGCTTCCAGGGCTGAGGCTTCCTCTCTCCTCCTCCGGACTCCCTTCCTCCTGAACAAATCCTGTCCCCTCCAACACCCCCTCTGAGGATTTGTCAGTCCTCACCCCAAGAGCTTAAGGAGAGGCGGCTTGATTGGGAGGACCCTCTCCTCTGCACCTTGCTGCTAATGGTATCTGCACCTGGTTTGCAGGTACCCTCGGCTTCAGATAGTGGACTGGAGAGGAGGACAAGAAAGAAGCCTGGAGAGGGAAGGGGGGACAGGGAGAGGTGGCTCTGCAGCCAGAGGACCAGGCGGGGGCTGATCCCAGGGGTGGGTACACAGGTGACTGTGCCCCCTTCCCCAAACCTGAGGGCCCCCTGATTTGAGGCTCCTGAGGAGAGAAACCTGAACCTGAGGAACTGAGGGAAGGGAACCAGAAGGGTCTCTGTGGGGAAGAGAGAGCGTCTCAGCCAATCACTGTGGCCTGCCAGTTACCTGATCAGGCACAAAACTCAACTCTGTCCTTCCCATACTTGACCTGGGACAACTCCCCTGCATCCGGCTTTGCTGCCCTCCCCAAACTGGGCTCCAAGAAAGGAGCTCAGGCACAGTGGTGGGAAACAGTGTTCCCTACAGCTGTCAGTAATTCCAGAGTTGTCCCCAAGTGTCCCGAGGTGAGCTCTTCCCCTGAGGAAATGGCCTCCACAAGTTTCTGGAAGAAATGTGTCACCTGCCCCCAGAGAAGGACGGCCCTCCGTATAAACAGCTCCCCTACACAGAGTCAAGAAGGAAGACTGACTGATTTTTCTGCCTAAAAAACAATTCTTATGTATGATGAAAGATACTATAAACAATGTTTTCTAAAATGTAAAGGGAGATTTTAAAATCACATATATGTTATACAAAGATTAATAGCCCGACTATGAAAGGAACTTGTGAAATCAATACGCAAAGGGCAACAACTCAATAGAAGAAACAGAAAAGGCTAGAAATTCCAATCTAAAGAAACGCCCCATGGAAAATTAATACATAAAGACAAGATCAATTTTATCAGTAAGTGAGAAAATGCAAATTAAAACAACAATGGAGGGATCATTTTTCACCTATTAAATTAATACAAATTTAAAAGATTGGTTATTCCCAGCAGTGACGAGGTTGGGAGAAAATTGGCATCTCAAAGGATGTCGGTGAGAATATAAATGAGTGCATCCTTGTAGGGAATCAATTTGTCCAGATTTATCAAAATATTAGATATGTATCCCCTTTCCACAGACAGTTCCATTTTTAGTGTCCGCATGAGAGAATAAATCATGTGTACACAAAGAAGCCTATGTAAAAGGTTATGTGTTGCAACATTGTATATAATAGTGAAACTTAGAAACAAATCAAATGGCTACAAATAGGAAAGGAGGGAAATAAATGAGGCTACATCTCTAGCCTAGGGCGCTAAGGAGCAGGCTAGAAAGAAGGAGGCAGATGTGTGTGTTCTAAATGCGCAGAGCAGATCAACTAAACAATTCAGCTCCAGAAAATCAAGCCGCTGAGTGACACACATCACAGTACTTTATTTATATCGGCAAAACTGAGGATAAAGCTATATCCCCAGGGACATGGTTTGGATCTGTGTCCTCACCAAATCTCATGTCTAATGGTAGTCCCCAGTGCTGGAGGTGGTTCATGTGGGCAGATGTCTCATGAACAGTTTAGCACCATCCCCTTGGTACTATCCTCAAGATAGTGAGTTTGTTATGAGCCCCCATTTGTCTTCCGCCATGATTGGAAATTTCCTGAGACCTCCCCAGAAGTAGAAGCTGCTATGCTTCCTGTACAGCCTGCAGAACCATGAGCCAATTAAACCTCTTTTTAAGTTACCCAGTCTCTGGTATTTATAGCAATGCAAGAATGGACTAATACTCCTAGACACAGTGTATGTGTGCATGTACGCATGCATGTGTGCGTATGCATGCATGTGTGCGTATGCATGCATGTGTGCGTATGCATGCATGTGTGTGTATGTGTGTGTGTAAAAACAGGAAAGAATGTGTGCCAGAACTGCCTCAAGATGCTACTATGAGTAATGTCTAGGTAGGGGCAGGTGACCAGTATGGAACAGGGACTGTGAAGGGGGACTTTCGCATTTTACCCTGTAGTCTACCACGTTGTTTGAATGTTTTTACGATAAGATGTACTTGGGGTTTTTTTTAAGTAGACATGTTTTAATGACTGTTGAAGTGAATGAAGAAGTCAGAGGCCACAGCAGTCCTGTCCCCGGGACAGCAGTGGAAGGGTGTGTGCATGTCATCCTGACCAAGTCTCCTGGGGACAGGCTAGTTTCAGGGTCCTCGTTAGAGGCTCGGCTTCTGTATGGCGTGTCCTGTCTGGTTTCCTTACACTTTACACCCTTATTCTGTCTTCTCAATAGTCGGGCAAGCCTAACACTACCAATGAAGCTCCCACCCCTGACTTCCCACTTACCATACCAGCCCCAAAAATCTGTTTATGTTCCCCACAAAAGCCCATACACAAATGTTTATAGTGCCCTTACTCATAATCACCACCAACCAGAAACAGCCCAAAGGTCCTTCAACTGGTGAAAGGATCGACAGGCTGCAGTACATCCATGCAACAGAATGCGACTCAGCAATGCAAAAGAACAAACTACTGCCACACGTGACAAACCTAATAAATCTCAAATGCATTAGGAAAGATGTCAGACTCAGAAGGCTACACACTGCACGATTCCATACATATGGCATTCTGGAATAGGCAAAACTGTCAGCACAGAAACCACTGATCAGTGGTTTCCAGGGACTGGGGGGATCTGCGGTGGTGGTAAGATGGTTCTGTGTCTGGGTTGTGTTGATGGTTATGCAACTGTAACCA